TAATAAGTAGATTGCAATACGTGACTGAAAGTGAAGGAAAGCACGTTGAAGAGTTTCTTTGTTGCAGCAATAGTGGCACCGTTATAGACCTCTAGAGCGAAAATTGTAACTATTTTTGAAACATTGTCCATAATTTCCCCTGTCAACATAAATGTCTAACATGTGTGCAAAATATTATCAATCTATCTCTAACAGTTTTGTCTCTATAGTGGTCTAAAGTTGTATATTTTAATTATAGACATTCTGTATACCTGGTATGTATATTTATATACATAATAATGTAATAATTTAAAATTTGGAGTCTATTCGGGATGAAATAATAAGAAAGATCTTTTATTGTACTTTATTGCAGATAGGCTTAAATATAATAGACTAAAACTTACAGTTTCTAATTAAACATAAGTAATATTGTATATATTACAATACCTAATAGTCAGTTGACAAACAATTTTATTTCTTCTCGATTAAGTACAGAATAAACTGTAAATAATTTGAAGATTTCAAGTTTATTAAAAAAGTTAATTAAAATCGTAGATAATTAACAACTTAATTAAGAAAGAATTAAAACTAACAGAGATATAAAGTTTTATCATATAATTTACTCATTATCATTCAGTCGAATCGTAAAACTTTCATAAGCTAATTATAGTTTTTTCCCCCCTTAGAATCAATATTTCCTGTATTTTCTTATTATATTGATTTCTTATTCACAACATTTATTTAATATTCTTTAATTTATCAATACTTTTGATATTATTGAATAATTTTAATTAATAAATTGTATCTAATAAAAAATTACTATAATTAATAAAAACAATTACTAAGACTCTTTTCTTATAATGAAATGAAAAAGAAAATTGAAAATTGTCATTGACAAACTATTTATTTTATCTTCTTCGTCACTGATATTGCTGAATGCCAATGGAGGATTTATCTGTTTGCATTATTATTTAAGTTTTGTTTGTTTGATGATTTTTACCTTGTATTATAAAATATTTTATTTCAGAAAAAGTTTGTGTAGTATTAGTTGCAAATCTTATACATATAACTTTACATCTTAAAATTAGAGAGATTAGTTATATAAAACATAGATGTTTGTAAATTTAGATAATTCATTTATTGTTTTAAGCATTTAGTATGAATTTAAATAATCGGTTATTTATTATTTTATTTGTTTATACGAAGTTAATATCGAAAAATAAATTGTCGTTGTCAAATATAAACTCGGATTTAAATATAGAACGTTACGATGTTACGAAAGCGTAACTAACAAAGTTCGTCAAACTGTGGTCCCAGCTTTTTGAAGTGACAAAACAGTTAATTACGTGTTAATAATAAGACGGCGTTGCTCAGATGTACTAAAAATTATATGATTTAATATTAATTTTTACTGTATCATCTACGAGTGCGTCTGTTGAGTGTAGTTTTTCAACCATGAAGCGGATTCTTGATATATTTTATAGATCTTCCGAAAATATGTCAATTCTACGGTTGGCAGAGACAAAGCGATTTTTTTATTTCGCTCGGTCAGTTCGGTTTTCCGGAGAGCAGAGCATAAATAAATGGAATTTTGATAAATTAATTTAAGAAACAATTATAGTACGATTCTAGGCAAAATTTTGAACACACAACAATCTTAGTGATATATTTATAAAAAAAGAAATAACATTCGTTTTATTTCTA